ATAGTTCTCGGGGAGTGTTGGCCCAGTCCCAGAGATCCAAATCAATTGTCCCAGTCAGCACCTGGTCTCAAGTGAGGGAATTCAAAAGGTCCCCAGCAACTAAATAGCAGGGGTCTGCTGGCAGCTCGAGTGTGACTCATTCTGGTGCTCCGTGGAGTCAGAAGGACCCCACCAGCAAATGCATTAGTCTGGGAAGGTTGATGCCTCTTTCCCACCCTTGCACCTCTGTCCCACTCAGTCACTGGTTACCTCGCAGGGCTATGACCCAGTTCCCTCCAATGAGCTGATGCTTTAGGGGTTTGTGCCTGCTTGAGTCACAAAGCGATCTTATGTCTCCTCTGCCAGTCCTCTAGCAGGAGAAGTCGAGGCCTGACAACCTCGGGTGGTTAATGAAAGCTGGGGCAGTTCACTCAGTTCCAGCCACGACCTTGATTGATGTTTGCTGACGCTTATATTTGTGCAGAATTTGTGATTCTGTCCTGGCTATATTCCCCTGCAGATCAGGTGCTGTTTGAGTTCACAGAAACTGTGACTCAGCCCTGGTCTGTGCTGCTGCCCAGAGCTAGGGTGTCTGTCTCCATTGCAGTCCATTAGGGCAGGTGTGGTTAGAGCTCACAGTGAGCTCTCCCTTCCAGCCTCTCCCCACCTGCTTTTGTCTCAGCTATGATCCCCTGAGGGCCAAGTGTTTCTTAGGTTCATTAAAGCCATACTGGCTCAGCCCCACCCTGGGAGTCTGCCGTATCTGGGAGCCTGTCTTCAATTTTCCCTCCCACCCCGCTCTACCCAGGCTGGTACTGCCTCAGGCATACCCTTGGCTCATGGGGCCTGAGTTAGTGTCCTACATCTATTTCACCATGTCTTCCACCAGAGAAGATACCTATCTCTCTGTGGTTGCGTAGAGAAACAGGGAGTGTCCTTCCAAAATATCCCCAGGGGTGTGAGCCCTATTGTTTCCATTGCCACCACTGCTGCTCTGTGCTGGGTGGCACCTTCTCTCCCTTTCCCGTGAGGTTCCTTCAGTCCACCATTTTCTCCTCACCCTTGTGCGTCTGAATCAGCACAAACATGTAACAGCCCACGCCCTGTCCACACCTCTTGAGAAAATGCCCAAGACGTGAACTCCATGTGGGACAGACTTCCAGACCTTGAGGAGAGAGCGGAGGAGAGTGCTGGGAGTTCAGAGTTGCAGGTAGAGAATGTATATAGTTTTATACAGTTTTATGCCTGAGAGGAGAGTGCCATGGCACCCTAGTTGGGGAAGGAGGTCCAGGTTTAGAGGGTCTGTCCTGTGGGATAAAATGGGAAGATGTTTGAACTCTGCTGGCTTGTTTGTGGAAAGTATACTGCCAGCTGTTCTCATGGAGGCAGGGACTCCCCCTTGGGAATGGATTTTGTACTTACTGTTTGTATCGTTCGGGTCGCAGCTCGTTTCAGCATGTGCTTTTTCAGTCTTCTCTCTTGGCTCAGCTCCAAACCATCAGCTTACTTGCTAAACTTCTGTCCTTTAAGTCTCTTCTGGACAGAAGCCTCTGTGGAAAGCTGGCTGCAGTCAGCCATCTTGCCTCCACCCCACCATGATCCTTCTTACTAAATTTTTTTCGGTGACACTAAAAAGATTTCTACAGTTAGGAAAAAAAAATCCTAGTATAACTTAAGAAAGCATGGGACTTCTAAGTTAGCTCTCATAAAATTAAGTTTAATTTCTAAATATGGGACAGCAGGATAGTCAAATAAAATATCTCATTTAAGGAGTAATAACAGTTTCAGCATCCCTAGTCCATACATCTGAAATAGGAAATGCTCTAAAATCTGAAACTTTGAGCACAACCTTATACCATAAGTGGTAAATTCCACACTTAATGTCACGTGACAGTTTGCATTCAATTTTATGAGAAAAATTATTTCAAATATTGTATAAAATTATTGTAGGGTTCTGTGTATAAAGTATATGTGAAACCTTAATGAATTTCATGTTTAGGCTTGAGTCCTGTCCCCAAGGTATCTTGTTATGTATATATAAATGTTCTAAAATCTGAAAAAAAATTCTGGTCTCAAGCATGCATATATATATATATGCACATATATATATATATATATTTTTTTTTTTTTTTTTGGAGACAGGGAGTGCTGTGGCAGCATAGCTCACAGGAACCTCCAACTCCTGGGCTCAAGCAAGTGTCCTGCCTCAGCCTCCCAAGTAGTTGGGACCACAGGTGCCCACCACAACTCCCAACTATTTTTCGTTGCAGCTGTCATTGTTGTTTTTGGCAGGCCCAGGCTGGCTTCAAACCCACCACCTTAGGTGTATGTGGCTGGCACCTTGGCCACTTGAGCCATAGGCACCGAGCCTCAAGCATATATTTTTAAGACAAAGTCTTATTCTTTTGCCCTGGGTAGAGTGGCATCTTGGTAGCTTACTGCAGCCCCAAACTCGAGACTGAAGCAATCCTCCTGCATCAGGCTGTGGAGTAGTAACTACGGGTGTAAGCCAGACTCTAGGTCAGGCGTCCTCAAACTGCGGCCCACCTAGGACATTTATCCAGCCTGCTGGGTGTTTTTGCTGCTGCTGTCTGTCCTGCTTAGCAGCTGACTTGTCCCAGGGCCCGCAGTCCGGCCCTCCAAAGGTCTGAGGGACAGTGAACTGGCCCCCTGTTTAAAAAGTTTGAGGACCCCTGCCTAGGTTAATTTTTCTGTTTTTGGTAGAGAAAAGGTCTCGAGCTTGCTCTGGCTGGGTATAAGCTCCTGAGCTCAAGGTTCAGGAGGCCAGCTTCACCTCTTAAAGTGCTAGGATTATAGGAGTGACCCACCATGCCTGGTCCTAGTCCCAAGCATTTCTGAATAAGGGATACTCAACCTGTAGTATAAGGAGCCAGCAGATTCATCCTAAGGGAATTTGATACCTTTGACAAATACATCCTTTAATTAAAATTTTGGGAATTTTTTTTAGAAATTGTCACTCTTTAATATTTGTACTTGACTAGCATTGATCTTGGTTACTCCCAGGGAATTTTCTAGGTTTTAAATGTAATATTTTAATTTCAAGGGAACAATTTGACTCATGTTTTTGATGAATACACTGATTCTAATTTCATCTATCTTTTTTCTCTGTAACCTTTTTTTCCCTATCTGTTTCCTCACCATCAGTTTTTATGGCTTCAAGAATTTGCAAATCTGTGTTTCTGGCATTAATTTTTATAGATATTTTTAATTGGTTCATCTGTCATTCTTCCCAAACTGAACTCATTATGTTTCCTCCAAAATAGGGTTTTCCCCTAACTTCTCAATTAGTAGTTAGTAATATAGTCTTAGTAATATACTAACAGTTGCCCTTATATTGAAAACCTAGAGCTAAGCTCTTTAATTTGTAGTTGTTGTAGTCTTCCCATCATCTCATGTTCGGTTTTATTATTTACATGTTACAGATAACAAAACTGAGGATCAGAGAGGTTGCCCAAGGTCACGTTGCTAGTTAAAAGTCAGATTGGAAATTTAACAGATCAGAACATTCATACTGTCTGTGACAAAGTCTTCATACTGTCTGTGATACCCATTCCACTCTAAAATGTTTTTCGTGCTTACATATGTTTTCTCACTATTGTAAAATATTAAGGGTGGGAACCTTGTACAGAAGCATCACACCTCCAAAGTTGATGTTTTTCCCTAGAGCTTAGAACTCAGAAATTCTTAGGACTTCCCATTTCCGATAAGAATGTTCTCTTTTAACATTTTATTCTGTTCCTTCTTTCATATGTACATCATAGTAGCCTTATGTTAGTGTTTTTTTTCTGCTTTAAAAAATTATGGGTTTTAATCTGAAATTTTCAACAATTTTAAGTTAGTATTTTCCCACCTATTTCCCATAGTTATGTACCATATAACGACATTTCTGTCAATGTTGGTCCACATATAAGAAAACAGTGGTACTGTAACATTATAACTTATTTTTATTACCATTTTTATGTTTAGATACACAGATACTTAATATTGTGTTACAGTTTCCTTCAGTGTTCAGTCCAGTAACATGCTATACAGGTTTGTAGCCCAGGAACAATAGTCCATATAGCCTAGGTGTATAGTAGCTGTACTGTTGAGGTTTGTGTAAGTGCACTCTGTGTTTGTACAACAGTGACATTGCCTAACTGTGCATTACTCAAAATGGTTCCCCATCCTTAAGTGGATGTATAACTATATCAGCTTATAAATGAACAGATAACTTATTGTCTTTAAATAATGCTTTGAAAATGATAGGCTACATTTTTATAAGAAATCTAATGTTATTTTATTTCCCCTTCTGGTATTACAAGAAAATATGTTGCCTAAAATTGTTTTAATCTAATAATAATTAGCATTTTTTTAAGAGAGAAAGTGATAAGATGTAGAAGAAAAAAATGTAGGTTGTATTTAAAAGATTTTATGCCTATTATGAGAATCCTTTAGTATCAAAAGGTATAATTGAACAACCTCAATATTAAAATTACTAAATAGCTTACTGAAAACTAGTTAATATTTATGATATTCTACTTATATGGTTATATCATTTTTGCCTACCTAAAATATTTTTGGCTTTCGCCACATTTTTTATGTTCGTTAAAAAATCTGAAAGGAATGATTATGCAAGAAGTAATAATTTGCAATTAATCTATTCTTGTGAAGAATAATAGAAGTAAATCAAATGGGCATATTATTTCTCATATCTATAATTGTATTATTCCTACCTAAAAGTCTTAAATTTTAAATAGTATGTATTTTATAATGGTTACAATGTGATCTTGACTTTATGGTTTCATATTAAAGAAAAGAATCAGACTTTGTATATTTTTATAAAAAGAATTATCTTTTTAAAGAATTTTAAAATAATCACTAGCTTAAAATTACAAAATATAAATTTCATATGTTAGAAATGTGTAACTGTCAATATAATCAAACTTTTAAGAGTGTATTATAAAATATAAATGTGTTTCTGTGTCCTGTCACAAACTCTACATTTGTTCTTTTGACAGAACACTCCTATGTCACCTTCACCAGCTGTACCAGTGCAGGGCCAGCCTAACAGTTCTCAGCCTTCTTCATTCAGTGCATCCAGTCAACATGGAGATCCACTGAGAAAACCTGGACAGAACTTCATGTGTCTGTGGCAATCTTGTAAAAAGTAAATGGCAATTTTGTTTGAGATATATATATATACACACACATATATATATATAAGTATTCTTTGTTTTGGAATGTTTTTATATTTAAATTTGTCCTCTATTGTGTTATGAAAATTTTCTTTTCACACTATTAACTTTTGGCAAAAATATTTTATGTTAAGTGTAACATTTATGTGGATCCTTTGGCACCTAATCTAACAAATGTATATAAGTGATGGAAATAGCTTCAATGCCTAATGGCAGGTTATTAGGGAATATGGTTCAGCCTTAGTATTTAATAAATGAAGATCTGTTAAGAATTTGTGTGTTTGAGGGCACCCATGGCTCATTGGTTAGAGTGCTGGCCCCAAATACCAGAGGTGGTGGGTTTGAATGCAGTCTGGGCCTACTTAACAAACAAAAAACAAACAACAACAACAAAAAAGGCCAGGCCTGCCTGTAATCCTACCACACTGAGAGGCTAAGGCAGGTCGATTGCTTGAGCTCACAGGTTTGAGACCCGCCTGACCCAGAGCAAAACCATATCTCTAAAAATAGCTGGGAAATGTGGCAGGTACTTGTAGCCCAAGCTACTTAGAAGGCTGAGGCAAGAGAATTGCTTGAGCCCAAGAGTTCGAGGTTGCTGTGAGCTGTGACGCCAGGGTACTATACTGAGGGCAACAAAGTAAGATTCTGTCTTAAAAATTAAAAAAAAAAGAATTTGTGTGTTCAGGTACAAAAAAGAATCGTTTTTAAAAGTGACCTTATATAGTGGCAGCTAAAGAATTTCTGCATAGTCGAAGCTTAGAAATATAATCTGTTAGAGAATGACTGAAGTTTGAGTTTGGGGTAGACATCCCATGAAAATTATTTTTAAAGCTGTATCATTTTATAATTTAATAATTAAGATGAACTTCTTAAATCTTTTTTAGACTTGAAGGAAAACTTAAAAATGTTGGTTAAAATTTAAATCTTAGTTCACTTAAGTACACAACCAAGACCTTTTGCCTTGAGTCATACTTTAGATCTTTGGGACTAAGGTACTTGTCTTAGTAAACAGAATATTCTTTATTTCTTAGATATCAAAGTATTCCATTTCATTCTTTCTAAGTGATAGCGGAAATTACTATTTTCTTAAAAATCTATATTTGCTGTTCATAATTTTTATGATATGTTAAAAATACTGTATTTCATTGTAGTTTATATATAATTTTTTATAGGATTATAGCTATCTATGTAGCTCAGGGATTATTAATAATATACAAACATTTATGGGACAGTATTTATCAAACTTTAAATCTTAACCCAGTAGTGGGGTCAAGGAATTATTTTAATATGTGTTGACCAGGATGTTTTTCTTTTCAATGAAAAAAAGAATGAATTAAATACTATATAATATTTTATCATATTAGTAAGGGTGAGTATTGATTTCAGTTCTTTTTATATAGATATGTTTGTCTACTTTATCATAGCATAAAATCTATTTTTCAAAAAGTTCTTTAAAAATCACTACTTTAGGTTGTTGCTGATTATTTCTTTGATTTATTTAATTTGACCATCTCTTTTTGTTTTTAGTGTATAAGTTAATTTGAAACTTTCTTCACTGAATGTCAATTTTATTTTCTCCATTTGTTTTGAGATTTTTGTGTTTGTTTTTCTGTGGCAAGTAGGATTTGGTATAGGTAGTCTGCTACAGCTGTTTGTTGACTTTTTTAAAAGTTCAAGGAGCCAGGTATGGTGGCTTGCACCTGTATTCCCAGCTTATTCAGGAGGCTTAGGTGGCAGGATGACTTGGATGACTTGGATGACGTGAGCCCAGTAGTTTTGAGTCCAGCCTGTGCAACACAGTAAAACACCATTCTCTCTCTGAATAAAATAAAATAAAATAAAGTTTAAGAATAACTTTAGATGAAGTATTTAGAATATTTCAAGAAAAAAAATTGCTGGAAGAGTAAATGCATCTAGATATCCAGCCCAGTTTCTTATCTTACTAAGTGGATCAGTGTTCCATAATTAAATGATGTATCTTTTCTTTGTAAGGCTTTTCTGAATAACACATACTCAATAAGGCTTCTTGGAGTTTGTTCTTTTTTTAAACTATGGTTTTTAGATACTGCATTGTTAATAAATTCAGTTAGCTTCTGGCCCTATTTATTGAGTAACCTCTAGGAAGGTGCTCATGTGCTAGGAGCTGGGAAGAAAGATCACTGCCGTTCCTTAGGGATACACATCCATAACACTAATAAATTACCCCATAAGTAAGTGCTATAAAAAGATTGTGTCATAGTGCTGTTGGCATCATAGTGGATAATTAATGTAACTCTGGGATGGTTAGAAAAGTTTCACTATAAAAATTATATTTGAGTTGCATCTTGAAGAGTGAATAGGAATTTGTCATGCAAAACTGATTCCTATCAGGATGGCAAGTACAAACTTAAGAGTTATAAAAGGACCTAGTATGCCCAAGTGAGAAGTTTAGGGTACCAGGAGCATAAGGACATGAAGAAAGAGAATAATACCTTTATTTTTCAAATTTAATTCCAGTTCCAAGTGGAAAAATTTACATTTATATTTATATGTCATAGCCATTGTCCACTAAGTGACTGAATTCAAATTTATTTAATACCAGATCAGAAATATTAATAAAGAACTTTGTTTCAATCAGATTTAGGGCTAAAATTATTTATTTCACTGATATACAAGGTGGACATGTGTGAACAGCACTCTACCAGGGGTGACAAAGTGAGACTTCTATCTCAAAATAGGAGAGGGATCAAAGGAGTAGGGCTCTGGCCCAATATGCCGGAGGTGGTAGGTTCAAACCCAGCCCCAGCCAAAAACTGGGGGGAAAAAAAAAAGGTAATTTGTCCTACAGATCTATAGTTCCCCAATCACTGGGCCACACAGCAGGAGGTGAGCTGGTGAATAGGAAGAATTACATATGTCATCTGCATTTACAGCAGCTCCTCATCACTGGCATCACCAGACCTCTTATCTCCTGTCCCATCAGTGGTAAATTAGATTCTCAGAGGAGCACAAACTCTACTAGAAACTGTGCATGCAAAGGATCTAGATTGCCAGTGCTTATGAGAATCTAATGCCTGATGATCTGAAGTGATGCTGGGACTGGGGAGCAGCCACAAATGTAATTAAAGTAATAATGCTTGAATCACCCTGAAACGTTGCCTCCTCAACTCTGTCTGTGGAAGAATTGTCTTCCAAGAAACCTGTACCTAGTACCAAAAAGGTTGGGGACCACAGGTATAGATGATCACGAGCTGGATTTTGCTAATCTTCAGCATGTTACTCTGACTTTGTATTTTCTATACATGGGTAGTTTGGTCCAGCTATTCGGTTAAGTTCCGATTTGGCTTTATGGACACGACCTTAGAAATGGTAGTGTGTGTTTCTATCGGATATGTAATATCTCGTCTCATTTCGTGATATAGAGTCATTGAGGATCATTGCCCCCGGAACATTATTTCATTAAGGTTTATAAAATATAAACGTTCCCCTTTTATCAACTTTGGTTTCTCTGAGGCATAATTAGTTCCTAGAAGAAAGGCAAGATACATGCAAGATTATTTACTTTATTTACCAGTTTTCAAAATAATGTGTTATTCACTAACACTCTGCAAAGATGACCATGAAGTTTGGCTTTTTTTGTAGTATCACTATGAACTAACTTTTCAGTTTAAACATTGGAGATATTTCAATCCATTGCAGTTATTGTATCCTTCTTGATGTTCAACTTGTGCCATCTTTGGCCAGTGAAAAGCCTGTTCAGCTGATTCCTATGCCCTTTGGTTGTGTTGTCAGTGTAAGCACATGTATTCAGTAGTTTCCTTGCTTTCTGTTAGACAAGATTTTCCATGTGTTTTGTTTTTTTTTTTTTTTT